TCGGCGTCTCGTCGTCGTCCCTCCTATTTCCTTGCCGTCGTCGTCGTCGTCGTCGTCGTCGTTGTCGTCGTCGTCGTCTTCCCTCCTCCCTCGTCGTTGTCGTCGTCGAAATCGCCGTCCTTCCTCCTTCTTTGTCGTTCGCGTCGTCGCCGTCCTCCCTCCTCCCTCGTCGTTGTTGTCGTTGTCGTCGTTGTCGCCGTCGTCGTCTTCCCTCCTCCCTCGTCGTCGTCTTCGTTGGCGACATCGTCGTCGTCTTCGTCGTCGTCGTCGTCGGCGTCGGCGTCGTCGTCGTCTTCGTCGTCGTCGACGTCGTCGTCGTCGTCGCCGCCGTCGTCTTCGGCATCGTCGTCGTCGGCGTCGTTGACGTCGTCGTCGTCGTCGTCGTCGTTGTCGTCGTTGTCGTCGGCGTCGTCATCGTCGTCGTCGTTGTCATCGTCGTCGTCGTCGTCGTCGGCGTCGGCGTCGTCGTCGTCGTCGGTGTCGTCGTCGTCGTCGTCGCTGTCATTGTCGGCGTCGTCGAAGTCGTTGGAGACGTCGTCGGTATCGTCGTAGTCGTTGTCGGCGGCGTCGTCGTCGTCGTCGTTGTCGCTGTCGTCGTCGGCGTCACTGTCGTTGCCAAGTGCCATTTGATACCCACCGTCACGGTGTGAAGAGATTTTGCAAACCAAGTTGCGGGTGGGTGGGTGGGATGTTTGCGCGAGCAGTGGAGTGGACAACTTCAAGTTGAGCATTGGTGGATTGCACCACGTATATTCACCACATAGCTCACTTTACATAGATTGCACCACACACATTGCTCCAGCTTTATTCTCCATTCGAAGACAGAAGAACTCTGATCTACCACACCCCCCGAAGCCGCCCCGGGGAGTGTTATTTACAAATGATTCTGCCCCACCGTTCATTTTTACTAGGAAGCTATACCATCCCAGCCTAATCAAAATCGCCCCCCACCTCCCCCACCATCCTGTGCGAACGACGCTATGCGCGCACATTCGTTTATCAACAATCATCGCTGTTCATGAAACCCTTGGAAACAACGACGAAGTACACACGCGCGCGTCGTCGCGCGCGCATGCCGGAATCCTTCAAAGAAAGCGCAGGTTTCACAAGGAATTCAGCACCGATTGTCCCGAAACATATGGACAAACACGGGTTGTGCAACATGCTGTTTCTCAAAGAAGGGTTGCGTGCACGCTCTAGCGAAGCGTTAAGAAACCCATCGGTTTCCACCATCTTCACCAAATGCGACCACACGGGTTTCTCTCGCGCGCGCATGTTGAAATCATCCGAACGCCCTTGTACGCGTGCTGGGAGGAGGGCACGATCCCTGTCAACAGATCTAATACGGTCCACTCGCGCGCGTCTGCCGCGCGTGCATGCTGAAACCCTGCCAGAACATTCATCAACAACATGTGGAAAGTGCGCCAGTGGATCTCCCTGAATACACTAAAGGGGGGGGGGTCCAGAACCCCCCCCACCCTTCCCCCCTTCAAAGGGGGGGAGGGGGTCCGGACCCCCCCCTTCTTCCCTTAGGGGGGGGGGGTCCCGAACCCCCCTCCCCCCCCCTCCCTTGAAGGGGGGGGGGGTCCGGGCCCCGCTCCCTCCCCTTTGGCGCTGGAAATGGGGGGGGGGGTTCGGACCCCCCCCCCCTCCCCCCCCTTGCGCCGGAAAGGGAGCCGGGGAGGGGGGGCCTCTCTCGCTTCTCCTTTCTGCACTGGAGAAGGTGTGTAGGGAGTACGAAGTTGGGAGTAGGGAGTAGGGAGTGGTGAGTAGTGAGTAGTGAATAGTGAGTTAGTGCGTACTGAGTAGTGAGTATTGGGTAGTGAGTAGTGGGTAGTGAGTGGCGAGTAGGGAGTAGGGAGTGGGGAGTAGTGAGTAGTGAATAGTGAGTAGTGTGTACGGATAAGTGAGTAGTGAGTGGCGAGGAGTGAGTAGTGAGTAGTGAGTAGCGAGTAGCGAGTAGTGAGTACTGAGTAGGGAGTACGGAGTAATGAATAGTGGGTAGTGAGTAGTGGGTAGTGAGTAGTGGGTGGCGAGTAGTGATCAGTGAGTAGTGAGTAGTGGGTAGTGCGTAGTGCGTAGTGAGTAGTGAGTAGTGAGTAGTGAGTAGTGAGTAGTGAGTAGTGTGTAGTGAGTAGTGAGAAGCGAGTAGTGAGTAGTGAGTAATGAGTAGTTTGTAGTGGGTAGTAAGTACTGAGTAGTACGTAATGCGTAGTGAGAAATGAGTAGTGATGACTAGAGAGTAGTGGGTAGTGGCAGTGGGTAGTGAGTAGTGAGTAGCGAGTAGGGAGTAGCGAGTAGTGAGTAATGAGTAGCGAGTAGGGCGTAGTGAGTAGTGAGTAGTGAGTAGAGAGTAGTCAGTAGTGAGTAGTGGGTAATGAGTAGTGAGCGACGAGTAGGGAGTAGCGAGTAGTGAGTAGTGAGTTAGTGAGTAGGGAGTAGGGAGTAGGGAGTAGTGAGCAGTGACTACTAAGAAGTGGGTAGCGAATAGTGGGTAGTGAGTAGCGATTAGTGAGTAGTGAGTAGTGGGTGGCGATTAGTGACTAGTGACTAGTGACTTGTGAGTTGTGACTAGTGATTTGAGACAGTGTTGTGACTAGTGGGTAGGGAGTAGTGAGTAGTGAGTAGTGCGTAGCGGGGAGTGAGTAGTGAGTACTGAGTAGCGAATATGGGAGTAGCGAGTAGTGAGTACTGTGTACTGTGTAGTCGGGATTGTGTAGGGAGTAGGGAGTAGCGAGTAGCGAGTAGTGGGTAGAGAGTAGTGATTTGTGGGCAATGAATAGTGAGCAGTGAGTAGTGGATTAGTGGGTAGTGGGGAATGAGTAGTGATTAGTGAGTAGTGAGTAGGGAGTAGTGAGTAGTGCTTAGTGAGTAGTGAGTATTGAGTAGTGGGTAGTGAGGAGTGAGTAGTGAGTAGTGAGTAGGGAGGAGGGAGTAGTGGGTAGCGAGTAGTGGGTGGTGGGTATCGAGTAGTGGATAGTGAGTGTAGCGAGTCGTGAGTAGTGACTAGGGGGTAGTGAGAAGCTAGTAGCGAATAGCGACTAGTCAGTAGTGGGTAGTGAGTAATGAGTAGTGAGTACTCTTCGGGGCCGGGTTTAGTGGTTGGGGTTAGGGTTAGGGGCTTGGGTTAGTTTGAGGACTAGGGGTAGGGGTAGCGGGGGTCGGGTTCCGGAGTCAGGTGGCGGCGAGGCGAAAGAGGGGGGAGGGGGGGGGGGGTGCGGCCAAAGGGGGGGAGGGGGGGGTTCGGACCACCCCCCACCCTTTTGAAAGGGGGGGGGGGGTCCCCGACGACGGATCGGGGAAAGGGGGGAGGGGGGGGGTCCCCGACGACGGATCGGGGAAGGGGGGGAGGGGGGGGTCCCCGACGACGGATCGGGGAAGGGGGGGGGTCCTAACCCCCCTCCCCCCTTGGGGAGATCCAGCGGCGCACCCTCCAACATGTGGACGCCATCGTCGTCATCGGCGTAATCAGCGTCGGCGCCGCCTTTGGCCTTGCCGTCGTCGTCGCCGTCGTCGACCCCAGCATCGCTACTATTATCATCGTGCCTGCCGTTGCCTAAGTCGCCATGATACCGCGCCCGCCCGAATCACCGACTCGCAAGTGCCCGCGCGTCAGCGCGGCGTGCGAGACGCGCTGGGAAGTGCCGAGCAGTCAGCGCCACCGCGGCCGCGTCGGTCGCGCCAGGCTAGCTGGCCGCTCTGCGATGTAGCCTGCGCGCGCTCGCGCGGCCGTAGCGATGCGCCAGCCAGCGCAATGCAGTCGTGGCAATCGCCGCTGATGGGATTTGCAAGGCAAGTTGCAGGTGGGTGGTTGGGAGGATTGCGCGAGCAGTGGAGTTGACAATTTCAGGGTCGGCAGAATGACTTGCACCACATAGTGTGCGACACATATTTTACGTCACACGTACTGCACCAAATTAATTGCACCACGTGTATTGCAAGTCAGAGTATGCTAGCACACATTGCTTGGCGTCCGCGCTGACTAACATATGATATATATATATATATATATGTGTGTATACACATGTCTCAATAATTATGTGAAGGTGGACGGGTTCAAACATAAACGGGATCTCCAGGGGCCCCCGTTGGCTTGTCTAGGGATTGGAGCCAGGAACCTCGTGCCGATGTATATCGAGCGCCCACTCGGCAGTTTTTTCGGCAGTATTGTCGACAGTTTGACCAGCAGGGTGACACTGCAACAGCGCCGGGGGGGGGGGGGGGGGGCTGGCGCTCACGAGTGGCTGCTGGCGTCGTCCCGTCCTCCCCTTTCGCCCCTCCCGCTCAAGGCGGCGAGGGCGCTGTGGAGTCCCCCTTCGCATCAGTTGGGAGTCTGGCGTCGATCATCGAGCTGAGCTGAGCTGAGTTCCAGGTGGGATCCTGCGCACTCGTGGCCTTCCTACTTCAGCAACGGTACCACAATGTTTGAGTGTTCCAGGTGGAGCTCGCATCCGATGTATGTCGAGCACCTTTTCTGGATGTAGGGCATTGCTTCAATATTTTTGAGTTCCCAGTGTTGAGCTGTGGAATTTGATTCGATGCGTGTCGAGGTTTGAGTCTGGAACTAAGGGACGCCTGCGACATGGCTGAACTTGAACGTGGAGCTAAAAAGTACGTGACAGTGCATCTCAAGCTTCGACGCTGAAGGTAAGACATGGGTGCAAACGATCCTCCCTGTTCAATCAAACGCGGTCACAGGGGGGCGTTTGGGAATCGGCGTTGCTGTTCCCCCGAGCTCAGTTCCCCCTGAGGCATCTAGGAATGCCCAGGCCCCCGAACGACCACAACAACCGCGTCCTCCTCGTCCACGGCGGCGGCGGCGGCGCCGCCGCCGTCGCCGCCGCCGCCGCCGTCGTCGTCGCCGTCGTCGTCGTCGTCGTCGTCGGCGTCGGCGTCGGCGTCGGCGTCGGCGTCGTGGGTCGTCATCGCCGTCGTCCTTGCCCTCGTCCTCGTCCTCGTTCTTCGTCGTCCTCCTCAGCTTCGGCGCCCCGCCGGGCAAGGCTGGCCTCTTCACGAGTCTGGCCGCGAGCCTGGCCGACGACCGCGGCGCCCGAGGGCTGGCGCTCGACCTGGGCGCCCTGGGGGCGGCATACTAAACAAAAGTCAGACGCGCCACCAGCGCCGCCGTCGTCAGCGCCGTGCTCAGCGCCGTCGTCAGCGACGTCGTCAGCGCCGTCGTCGTCGTCGTCGTCGTCGTCAGCGACGTCGTCGTCGTCGTCGTCGTCGTCGTCGTCGTCGTCGTCGTCGTCGTCGTCGTCGTCGTTGTTCGTCGTCGTCGTCATTGTTGCCTTGGTCATCGCCGTCGCCGTCGCTTTGGTTTTCGCCGTCGCCGTCGCTGTGGCCGTGGCCGTCGTCGTCGTCGCCGCGGCCGTGGCCGCGGCCGTCGTCATCGCCGTCGCCGCCGCCGCCGTCGCCGTCGCTGTCGCCGTCGCCGTTGCCGTCGTCGTCGCCGTCGCCGTCGCCGCCGCCGCCGCCGTCGTCGTCGTCGTCGTCGTCGTCGTCGTCGTCGTCGTCGTCGTCGTCGTGGCCGTCGCCGTCGTCGCCGCCGCCATCACCGTCGCCGTCGCCGTTGCCGTCTCCGTCGCCGTCGTCGTCATCATCGTCGTCATCGTCGTCGTCGGGAAGGTATGAAAGAACATCCTGCCGCCAGCACCCTCGTCGACGTCATCGCCGTCCTTATCATTGTGGTCGTTGTCCTTGGCGCGTCTTGGTCCCAGGGATCATGTGGTGCAGCCCCAAGGGGTGTTGGGTTAAGGCTTAAGTAAGGGGAGGGCGAGGAGGAGGAGGAGGTGGAGGAGGAGGAGGAGGAGGAGGAAGAGGGAGAGGGAGTAAGAAGGGGAAAAGGGAAATAGAGGAGGAGGAGGAGGAGGAGGAGGAGGAGGAGGAGGAGGAGGAGGAGGAGGATGCAACAGGAGAAGGAGGGCGAGGAGAAGGAACAATCTGATTATGATGACGATCATGGTGGTGCTGATGATGACGATCACGGTGATCATGTTGCTGCTGATGCGGACGCTGACGTGACGACGGTGACGGTGACGAGCACTATGATGATGACGATCACGGTGATCATGTTGCTGCTGATGCGGACGCTGACGTGACGACGGTGACGGTGACGAGCACTGTGATTGTGGTGGTGCGGGACAGCTGCCACAGCCCAACACCATGGCCGCGCCGGAGAGCTGGTGCTACCCGGGGGGGGGGGTTGCGGCCCGCAGAGGCGCGTGGCTGGCGGCCGCGCCTCCGACGCGGGCGGACGTAGGCGCGCCGCGCCCGGGGACGGCGTGGCTGCAGACGCCGCTCCTGGGGCTCTATAGAGCCAACCCTGGTGGTAAGGATGGTCGACCTCGCCAGGGGCTCGCTCGCATCCTGGCCGCTTCGGGCATCTTCGGTCCAGCCTCGACCACTTGCATTGGCCAGCCCCGCTCGATGAGCCTCGGCATGGGCGTCCAGGGCCCTTGCATCCTTACCTCGCGTCCTTACTATATGGGTTGACTGTAGGCCTGACGATCCTCAGGGAATGTGTTTGCCGCCCGCATGTGTGTTTACCCCGTCCGGCCCCCATCGCATATGCTGCGTCGTTTTGGAGAGCTTCGGTGGACGAGCACACTTTGGCGCCAACACCCGTTCTGAGGATCATCGATCGGCCTCCCAGATGGGGTCCGAGTAGAGTCGAAACCGATGGTCAGGACGGGTAACCTTCCAAAGGGTAACCTTGCATCCTTGCCTCTTTGCTCCATCCTTAACCACTCTTGAATGCCAGCCCCGCTCGAGGAGCCTCGACATGGACGTCCAAGGGACTTGCATCCTCACCGCGCATCCGTACTATCAGTTCTGACTGTAGATGGGGTCGGAGGATTGCGCCGCATCTCTGATGCATCGACGATGCGGCTCGATGTGGAGCCCGATGTTCTCCACGCCGGCCGCGCCGATGCATCGCCGACGTCGCCGATGCATTGCCGATGCATCGGCGATGCAGCGCCGATGCATCGGCGACGCGGCGCGATCCCGTCCAGGAGGCCTCTAGCTCTTGGGGCCTTGATCAGTTGACGCCATATTGTTCTGGTTGCGACCGGCAAGATCGGTCGCTTTTGCTTGTGCTTCAAAATCTGGTACGGGTCGCGACCGATTTGCGTCGAAATCGGTCGCGACCGATCGGTCGCGATTGATTGTTGTTTTTTTGCTGCTATTTTCGGCCTCCGTGGGCTCTCGCTGAGTGAGCCCCAGGGCAGTCAGAAGACGACTCGGGATGAAAAAACGGTCCCAGGGAAGGGGTCGACTACATTTGCGCTGCATTTTTCATGGGCTGAAGGGTACTACCGGCTTTATTTCCAGATCTATCTCGCAGGGCACGATATGGGGGCCAGATTTCTTCGCATTATGTTCCGAAAGGTGTTTGAACCCCCTGTGGGAGCTCTGCCGACGGACACGGCTTGGGGCTCCTTGGTTGACATTCGTCTTTCTTCAGCTCATCACGCAAAATGGCGAGAGTCATGTTTGCACGCGGCATGTTTTGTTCGCTTGCTTCTGAGGTAACCTTATTTGTTAGCATGGATTGCAAGCAGGCGAAGGAGATCCATGCGTTGGGTGTGAGAGCACTCGCTATTGCGGGCTGGGACCTTCTGGCATTGCGTATCCAATGCCGAACGAATGTCTGATAGCGATTGGTTACCATGTTACATGGTCACCAATCCATGCAATGGTTACATGGTTACCAATGGTTACATGGTCCATGTAACCATTGGGAGGGGACGGAAAGATTCGCCAACTATTCTTCATTACGTTTGTTGTGGAGCTATTTGATTGCGCAGGGGTGCATGCAGGCTGACATGTTGAACAAGTGTTTGGCTGGATCCAGCGGCGTGGCACAGAGCAGCTCTGTTTGGACGCCGAGGAGTACCACCTGGGCCGGCACGGAAACGGAAAGAGCGCTTCAACAACTTGACCGAAATTACTCACACCACCGTTCGTACTGGGAGCCTTGGCCTTGAGAGCTTGTTACGTCACCCCGCGCTCCTGGGAGCCTTGGTGTTGAGAGATTGTTGCGTTGCCGCCCGTTCCTGAGCCTTGGCTGGGCCTTGGTGCCAGGAACCTGTTACGTCATCGCTCCCTGCTGGGAGCCTTGGTCTTATCAGCTTGTTCACGTCACCGTTCGCTCTTGGGAGCCTTGGTGTGAAGAGCATTTTGCGTTACCGATCGCTCTTTATTTGGCTTCTCTGAGCCTTCTTGGGAGTGCTATTGCGGCCCTTTTTGAGCCCCTTTGGGGGCCTCTTGAGGGCCTCTTGGGGCTTCTTGGGGGTCTGTGGGGCCTCCTGGGAGCGTCTTGGGGCGAAAGGCTAGGCTTTCGGGTTCGTGGTCCCCCTTCTGGGGCCGTCTTGGGGCCCTCTTGGGCCGTCTTGGGCGCCTCTTGGGCCGTCTTGGCGCCCTCTTGGGCCGTTTTGGGGGCCTCTTGGGAGCCTCTGGGGCCGTCTTGGGCCAGTCTTGGGGCCCTCTCGGGACCTCTTGGGGCCTCTTCGGGCATCTTTTGGGCAGCCGTGGGAAGTGTTTTAGGGAAGCCCTCTCAAAAAACACTTTCTGGACAGCATTCCTAGGCCGTCTTGGGGCCGTCTTGGGGCCCTTTCGGAGCCCCCTGGGCCAGTGGGGCCCTCTTGGGCCGTTTCGGGACCCTCTTGGGCCGTCTTGGGGCACTCTTGGGCTGTTTTCGCTCGCTTCTGGGGGCCTCTTGGGCCGGCCGTCTTTGGGCGATCTTTGGAGCCTCCTGGGTCATTTTCGGCAGTTCATGGCCCGACAAAGCGAAATCCGAAAAACCTTCAAAAACCATTGAACCATAAATGATGTGTGCCTCCTCGGGGCCTCATGGGGAGCCTCTTGGAGGCCACTTGGGGTGTCTTCGGGGCCTCTTGGACCGTCTTGGAGCCATCTTAGGGCGTCTTGGAGGCCTCTTGGACCATCTCGGACACAACTTTGGCCGTTTCGGAGCGCTCTGGGACCGTCTTGGACCTGTATTGGGCGCCTCTTGGGCCGTCTTGGGCGCCTCTTGGGCAGTCTTGGGCGCCTCTGGGACCGTCTTGGGGGGGGGGGGGCGGCCATTATCAACCATTCCCGCACGCTTCCCCCCTCCCCTGGAACCCCTCCCTTTAGGGCTTCGCCCCACCTGAACGTCATCACTCGTACCAGACTTCAGAGGTTGTCATACATCCATTGAGTATGGACGTTTGCTGCCTTGTGTACACCCCCGGCTGGAACTGCAACATCCGAGCCCTGCAGAAAATCAGGGGGCAGCATCACCAAACATTTCAGGGATGCCATGCGGCTCCACCGGCTCAAGCATGACATTGATGAGAGCAAACGTAACGACAACGGCGAGACTGGACGCACAAGTTGTTGATGCTGACGTGGTGGCTCTTAAGCGTACGTTGTAATATGCTGGTCACATTGCCCGTATAATCAAACACGCCCCCGATGATCTGCTCTGTCAAGCGTTTCTTTGGAACTGCTGAAACAGATGCCAGGGTAACATTGCCAGACCATGGCATCGCCAAGTGCACCCACGCCGGTTTGCCCCCTGGTTCTGGGAGCAACGTTTTTTTGATTTTTCTAGAGGGGGTCTGGACTGGATGGAGGAGGCTGGCGATAGAGGAAGGTGGAACCAGTGGGAGGAGAAGTGGATTTGGCACATGGTTGGCACACAGCACAATAGCGCCATCATTTCGCACTGCATATTCGTTTCTTTTCTCTTGCATTTCAGTTGTTTCAGGCCTTCGGCATTTAGACGGACGGAGCAATCGTTTAGGCCCGACCACCACCACCCCTCCCTCCTGCTCCAGCTCCTTCTGCTTTGCATCCCTCCTCCCTCCCCTCACTCTTGGCCTTCACCCAAGTTGCAGCCCAGGCTCACCCTGCGCTGACCGCCCCAGGGAGGCTGGCCAGTCGGAACTCGGACCTCGCTCGTGCCTTGCGAGGCCGCGCCAGCAGTGCAGACCGTGGCCTTGCGAGGCTGTGCCTTCCCGGCCCCCGCGCAGGGCCAGCTGCCGCCTCGGACCTCGCTTCTCGGCCGCCGCGCGTGGCGCGCGCCGGCGACCTTGCGGCCCCCGCGCTCGACGCGATGTCCCGGCCTCCTCTCGTGCAGGCTTCCACGCCTGACCTCAGGCTTTGCCGACCTGCTCCCAGAGCACCACGGATCTCGCTGCGGTTTGGATCACGATCTAGGCTGGCTGCGCTCGGCTCCCACGGCACACACGTCGCCGACGTGTTGCCCTCACAGCTGCTGTGCCCCGGAAGTCGAGGTATCCTTCCCGCGGGGCTGGACAATGACAAGTTTTGAGCGGCTTCAGGTCCACTTCTGTTTTGCACCACCGTCTGCGGCGGGACAATGTGAGCACAACTCTGCCCTCCTTGGGACATCGTCGTCCTCAGACCTGCTCCTCCACCCCCGCCCGCCCGCCCAATTCCGAGCAGGGCTTCCTCGTCGTCCTCAGGCCTGCTCCATGCCGCGCCTCGCCCGCCCTCCCCCCCCCTGTCGCCCCCCTCCCCACTTCCGCCGTTCGCCCGCCCGATTCTGCGTAGTCTTAAGTCGTAACTAGTCAACAAAATATTATGGGGACTTTTTTGTTTGTTTGTATTTTGGGCATCTTTTGAGCATGTTTTTTTTTTTTTTTTTTTTTTTTTTTTTTTTTTGACAATTTTTGATTCTTCGTCCAAAATCATCCTGTAGGGGGACAGGCCCGACCTAAGCGTAGCCCCTCTTCGTCGTCATCCCCAAACCGTGTCGGCCACTTGGTTCGCAGCTGTTTGGCGCTGTCGGGCTCTCCGGGAGCTCCGGCGGGCACTCGAGGAGAGTCCGGGCGCTCGGGGAAACCCCGGAGGCGTCGGAGGCGCTCGGGAAGTTCCGGAGGCGCTCACGGACGCGCCCGGTGCTCCGAGGGCCAATGGCGTGCCTGGGGGTGGGCCCAGGGATGGGGCCTGCCGACGAGTCGGGCGAAACTCGTTAAAGCATCATTTTGCGTGCCCGCTCGCGCTCTGATTTCATGGGAGGCTTCATCTGCTTTTTTGGCTTGGCCCTGGGGGGTGGCGCGGGGCAGGGGCCCGCCAGCCCTTCCAGGGGCCGCGGCGGGTCGTTGGGGGTTTTGGCGGCCGCGAGCGCGGTCGCTCGACCTCCTGTCGGCTGTGCGGCGCGCGGGCATCGCTGGCAGCCCTCCCCTCTCACCCCTGTCCTCCCACGTGCCTCCTCGGGCCTCGCGCCCCCCCGTTCCCCTCCCCCTCCTCGGAGGAGGGCCCCGGGGAGGTCGACGACGCTCTGACGCTTTTTGTCGATGGCCCTTCCCTCTCGCCATCCGTTGGTGGCGGCGGCGTGTCGCCGTTTCTGCCTTCGGCGGCAGCTCGCTCTCGCCGTTGGCCTTCGGCGCGTGGCGGCGCGCCACGAGGTCAAGCCTCTGGTCCGTGGGGGCGGGCCGCTGCTCGGAGGAGTACCTGCGCTTCTTTTCGCTACTTTTAGGTCGGGCCCGTCCCTCTACGGGAGGGATATTAAAAGATAGTCAAAAAATCGTCAGGGGACATTTTTTAAAAGCATTTTTGAGCATGTGGGGGGTATTCTTGGGCTATTTTTTATTTTTCGCCCAAAATCCCCTTGTAGGGGGACGCGCCCGACCTAACGCTATTTCCTCGTCTTCTCCGTCGTTCCCCACGCCACCTGTTGTTCATCTCTCCCTTTCACCACGGTTTCCAAGGCCAAAGCTGCCACGGGTTCCTTGCCGACCATCCACAGTCTTGAGCTTGATTTTTTGGTACGATCCGGCCCGCGGCAACGAGCTCGACTTCCGGGGCGCAGCAGCCTATAGCCCGCGCACCCCTCTGGGAGAAGCAGGACAGAATTCCTCAGAACCAGCACGGCTCGGAGCTGCACCTGTGGACACTCCGTGATTCGGAGCAGCATCGCAACTCCCGGCGCACACAGGATTACCGCGACGCCGCGCCTTACCTGGGAGGACGAGCACGACGTTGAGCAGCACGGCTGGGGCGACGAGCGCGCTGGCTACACGCACGACAGGCACTTCGGCTGCAATTGCGGCTGCTACGCGAATGAAATGTGCCACGGCAGTGGCCCCAAGTGCGACGAGCACGACAGGCGCAGAGGTATGACGAGCGCGGCTGGGGCCGTCACGATGAGAACCACTACTTGGACCAGCGCGGCTCGCACCACTGCCGACCAGCGCGCCAGGGAGTAGCGCTACGGGGTGCAGTGCCGAAGCCAGCTCGACTCGTTGCGTCACGACAGGGAACAGCCTGACCTCGAGAACCACGGCAAGGACAAAGCGAGGGGGGGGGGGGAACGACCCGCCAGACCCTCCCCCGCGGCCGTGGCCCTTCCCCTCGGAGGGGCCAAGGAGGTGGGTGCGGGTTCGGGGGGCACCCGCCCCTCCCTTCCCCTCCCCTCCCCTGCCTTTCTTGCGTCCCGCGCGGCATGGGCACGCGCGCCGCCGCCATCTTCAGCCACTGTGAGCAGCGCGCCTGGGGCAGGGCGAGTCGGCGGCATCGCAGCCCGGAGCGCCACTGGGGCCTGCCCTGCTGGGAGCACCGCGGTTCGGACCACCGCAGCTCGGTGCGGCAACGCCGGGGCCAGCTCTGCAGGGAGCTGCGCTGCTGGGACTGGCTCCAGTGGGCGCAGCACAGCCCAGACCTTCGCGGCAGAAGCTGCTCGTTGCAGCACGACTCGGGGCGGCATGACTCAGCGCAGCACGATTGGGAGCAGCGTGCCTTGGCGCAGCCGCGAGGGCGAAACTGGCAAGTGCGGCACTTGCGCTGCGCCGCACAAGCCCGCCCTGGCGCATGCCTCGGCGGCAGCGGAGGTGCGACCTTCGGAGACGCAGCGGGGGCCGAGGAGCTGGCCGTCTCCGACGAGGGCGACGAGCAGCAGGACACCGATGGCTATGAATGGTAGATCCTGCCTCCGGCGGGCGCGATGCAATATTGATAGTGTATTTAATACTGGAGGAGGACGATTGAAACAGTACCTTCCCTCCCGTCCTGGGGGGTCGCCTCAGTATTGTGTAGGGCAGTAGAAAGTAAATGGTGGGGAAACTATTTTTCTATCGCCCCCCATGCCAGATTTTTTTGGCGTCGCGTTGGTCGTCGTCATCCCGTCGGTCCTCATTCCGTCGTCGCCGTCGTCGTCGTCGTCGCCCCAGGACTGCAGGGCGCCCGCGCAGACCCACCCCCACCCACTTGCCATCCGCGAAGGGCCGTCCGTCGTCGTTGCAGCCCGCCGTCGTCGTCGTCGTCGTCATTTTCGTCGTCATTTTCGTCGTCGTCGTCGTTGTCGTTGTCGTCGTCGTCGTCGTCGTCGTCGTCGTCGTCGTTCTCGTCGTCGTCGTCGTTTTCGTCGTTGTCGTCGTTGTCGTGGTCGTCGTCGTTGCCGTTGTCGTCGTCGTCGACGACGTCGTCGTCGTTTCCGACGACTTCGCCGCCGTCGTCGTCGTCGTCGTCGTCGTCGTCGTCGTCGTCGTCGTCGTCGTCGTCGTGGTCGTCGTCGTCGTCGTCGTCGTCGTCCTCGTAGTCGTCGTAGTCGTCGTTCCCCAGGACTGCAAGGCGCCGACGCAGCCCCCCCTTTTGCATGCCATCGGTAAAGGCCGTCCGCCGTCGTCGTCGTCGTCGTCGTCGTCGTCGGTGGCGGCGTCGTCGTCGTGGTGGTGGTGGTGGTCGTCGTCGTCGTCGTCGTCGTCGTCGTCGTCGTCACCGTCGTCGTCAGCCCGCGGGACTGCAAGACGCCTACGCAGCAACCACCGCCCCCACATGCCATCCGCAAAGGGCCGCCCGTCGTCGTCGTCGTCGTCGTCGTCGTCGCCGTTGTCTCGTCCTTCGGGACCGCAGGGCGCCCACGCAGCAGCCCTCCCAAATGGCCCATTTGCCATCTGCAGTCCGTCGTCGTCGTCGTCGTCGTCGTCGTCGTCGTCGTCGTCCGACGTTGCCCGAAGAATGCAGGACGCCCATGGAGCTACCCTCCCCCCCGTATGCCATCCGCAGTCCGCGGTCGTTTTCGCTGTCGTGGTCGCCCGTCGGTCGTCGCCTCCCCCCCCCCCCATGCGGAACTGCCAGACGCCCGCGCCAGGGGTCGGGGGGTGCCTTTGACCATTCCGGATAGCCACCCCCGCCGTTCCGAATTGTCCGTCCTGGGGCTTCCCCTGGCTTCCCAGGCTGATATGGAGGCCACGGGGCCAGCGAAGCTGTATTTCGTATTGAACAGCGATAAAAACAAACAAGAAGTAGTCATCGTCTCTGTCATCAGGATCACCACCGTCATTTTCATCATCATCGTCATCACCATCATCGTCGCCATCACCATCATCATCCTCATCATCCTCATCAGCACCATCATCATCACCTTCATTAGCATCATCATAATTACAATCATCATCGTCATTCTCATCAGCACCATCACCATCACCATCTTCTTCGTCATCATCACCATCATCACCTTCATCACCTCATCATTATCGCCATCATTACCGCCACCACCAACATGTGTCAACGGCGGCACCATCATCACCGCCACGGCCAATCTCAACAGCATCGTCATCACCATTGTCATCACTTCTGTCATCAAACTCAGCATTGCAATCGCTATCGACGTCATGATAATTATCAACAGCATCATCATCATCATCATCATCATCATCATCATCATCATCATCATCATCATCATCATCATCACCCATGTCACCATTACCATCATCAGCAAGAGCATCGTCATCGCCATCACCGTCATCATAGTCACCGTCGTCGTCACCATCATCATCGCCATCGTCTTTGTGGTTCGGAGGTTTTACTGGATGGTTTGGGGGCTCCAGCCGGATGGCTGGGGGGCGCAGGCAAAGTGGTCGGATGGACGGGCGGGTTTGGTTGGGCGGCTTGGGATGATTCGTCTAAGCGAGAGCGGTTGGGCGGCGGGGGTCTGTAGATGGGCGGAGCGGGTGTGCGATTTTGGTTTTGTGACTGAGTGGTTTCAAAGTGGCAGCGCGGCTGGGTATCCTGATTGCTCCCCTGCCCAGTCATCCGAGGCCCTACGTTGGTCGAGACCGAGGAGGGCACGTGGGCGGAGGCGCACGTGGTGTCGGAGGACGCCCCTGCGGTGCCTGGCCCCCTCCATTTCTTGTCCTGCTCCTGCTGTTCCTCCTCCTCCTCTTCCTCCTCCTCCTCCTCGTTCTTTCCCCTTGTCCTCCTCCGCCTCCTCCTCCTCCTCCTCCCTCCTCCCTCCCTCCCTCCCTCCCTCCTCCTCCTCCTCCCCTCTCCCCCTTCTCCTCCTCCTCCTTCTCCTCCTCCTCCTCCTCCTCCTCTCCTCCTCCTCCTCCTCCTCCTCTCCTCCTCCTCCTCCTCCTCCTCCCCCTCCTCGTCGTCGTCGTCGTCTTCTTCTCTCCTCCTCCTCCTCCTCCTCCTCCTCTCCTCCTCCTCCTCCTCCTCCCCCTCCTCCTCCTCCTCCTCCTCCTCCTCCTCCTCCTCCTCCTCCTCCCAAGATTTCCCTCGATCTGTGGTTGGTTCGATGTAGTTCGGCTTTGGCCCGACACCGTTCTGCCGCCACCGCGTGCCTACGACTTCCATCGTCCCTGGGAAGCACGACGAATAGCCTCTCAAGGTCTGCCCCTCCCGCCCCCGGGGCTCGTTTGCAAGCCCTGCAGCCCCGCAAGAGGTGGCCCCACGGCGGGACGTCTATGTCGCAACTGGACACGTGCGGGTTCGAAGGCAAACGCATGGCGTCGGAGTCGTGGGCCCTCCTCGGGTTGGGTGGGAACGAGCATCCAAGTGGAGAAGAAGAACAGGAGGTGGGGGAGGAGGAGGAGGAGGAGGAGGAGGAGGAGGAGGAGGAGGAGGAGGAGGAGGAGGAGGAGGAGGAGGAGGAGGAGGAGGAGGAGGAATAAGAGGAGAAATGAGGAGGAGGAAGAGGAGGATGGGAAGGACGATGATGATGATGATGATGATGATGATGATGATGATGATGATGATGATGATGATGATGATGATGATGATGATGATGATGATGATGATGAAGATGATTATGATGATAATGATGATGATGATGATGATGATGATGGTGGTGGTGGTGGTGGTGGTGGTGATGATGATGATGATGATGATGATGATGATGATGATGATGACGACGACGACGACGATGACGATGCTGCTGCTGCTGATGATGATGATGATGATGATGCTGATGATGCTGATGATTATGATGATGATGATGCTGATGATGCTGATGATGATGATGATGATGCTGATGCTGATGATGAGGAGGAGGAGGAGGAGGAAGAGGAGGAGGAGGAGGAGGAGACGGAGAAGGAGGAGGAACGAGACAGCAGAGGGAAGGAGGGAGGCTTAACATAGAGGAATGCGACATCTGCCTCCTCCAGTTTCCCTTCTTTTCTCTACCATTCGCTTCCTTTCTCCCGCTTTCTCACGCGCATTAGTATGTCTCTCTCGTTCTCTTCCTCCCTCCCTCCATCGCATCTAGATATAAGTGTGTGTATCTACACAGGTCTGTACACATATATATATATATATACACATATATTTATAAACACATATGTAGATATACACATATATATGTATATATATATATATATATATATATATGCATAAGTGTGTATATACACGTATACGCGCGTACATCGGAGGTTTCGGGGAGGGCGTCAGGTGGAAATGAACCGGGGTACCCCAGCCGGTTCTGGTTTCGGTTCGTGTCGTGCGTGGCACGAGTGCGGTTGAGGCGGAGCTAAGAGAGGGCGAGGCAGGTCCGTGCCTCGTTGGGGCAGGTTGCATCAGTGCTCCTACCCCCCTCATTGGGCGGGCGGTAGCCCCCGCGGTTGTCCTGGTGTTTGTGCCGCTGTTGTCCCGTGGTTATTTTGTGTGCCGTGGTTGCCCTGTGATTCCTGTGCGGTCGTCCCGCGGTTGTTCTGTGATTGTCCCGTGGTTGGTTCGCGGTTGTTCCGTGGCCGTTTTCAAGTTGTCCCGCGGTTGGCTCGCGTTTGTCCCGTGGTTGTCCAGGAGTAGTCCCGCGGTTGTCCCGTGGTTTGTCCCGTGGTTGTTTTGTCGTTGCCCGGTGGTTGTCCCGTGTGTGGTCCGTGGTTTGGTCATCCCTTGGTCATCGAAAGAAAGGTCGTTCGATCGAAAAAGAGGTCGAACGATCTTGTAGTAGGGTTGATGTGCGTTTAAGGAGATCGGTATGTGTGTGTGTGGATGTTGATATCGCCAGAGATCGGTAGATACATGGCGAACCTGACCCCGCGACAATCGCAAACCGAAAGCTGTATCCATCACCCTCTCAACTTCCATACCACTCGAAGGGCGCCCCTGTCGGTATGCGCGCACATATGTATTTTCCGCGATGCGTGCATATTCACATCTATAAGTCGTTATTTACCTTCTCTCTCTGTTTTTCCCTCCCCTTTTTAAGTCGCACGATTTGGTGTTGTTATTTACTTGTTGTTGCTGTTGTTTCTGCCCCCCATACCTCTCTCCCTTTCCGTCCCATCATCGATGCAGCTCAGCACGGGCTGTGATGTTGGCGCACGGGCGCGAACGCCCAGCGCGCTGAGTTGGGTTCCTTCCCCTCCTCCCTCAGCGCGGCGTTTGCCCTCGCCGCCCTGGCAGCCCTACGTGCCATCTCCCCTGTCGGACCATCTGCTCCGCGTCCCCCCGCGGGTGCCTCGTGCGGGCCGTGGTCCAGGTGGCCATCGAGGGGGCGGGCGAGGTTCTCTTCCAGGGCATTCGGACCGCGCTCTACGAATGGTTCGTTGGCCAGTCCCTCGCATCACTCGCGGGCCATTGCGCCCCCGCTGTGGGTTGCAGGCGCTCGATGAGGCTGCCTCGTCTCGGGTCGCTGCTGCCGAGGCGTAGCTGCGCAGGCACCAAGCGTTGCCTGACGCCACCGTCACCCGCGGTGCCCTCGGTTTAGCGGAGTCGACTCTCGCCGCCGTGGGCCCGTCTGGCCGGGCCCGCCGACGACCCCGCGTCGAGCTCCGCGGAGGCAGGTGCAGCGCAGGCAGGGGCCCCGCGAGGTCGCCCTCGAGGACCGCCCCAAACGCTGTGGGCACGCTCCTGGCAAGAGGGCCGGCGCGGGCGCCGCGCGGGCTTTCCCGTCCCTGAGGCCCGTCTGGGCGACGCGCCCGCCGCGCGGCGAACCGATTGCGCTTCGCTTCAGGCGGGTGCAGCAGTGTTCCCGATGGGAAATGGGGCCGTCACTGCCTCTGCCCCTCGCGCGCCCCCAGGCCCGCCGCCCGCGAAGCCTGCTCCCGTGAGGGGGCCGGTGCCGGTGAACCCCGTCGAGGCGCCGCGCCCGCGCGCGACCGCGCGCGGGCGCCTCCGCCAGGGCCGGCTTGGAGGCGCGGACCAGGGCCCCGGCTCCGACCGCGGGCTCCTTTGCCCTTGCCGCCCCGCCGGGGGGGCTCAGGTAGCTGCTTCCTCGGCTGCTGAGCCGCTCGAGTTGGATTTCGACTCGGACGATCCCCAGTGGTTGTCCTGGCATCCCAGCGATCCCGCGACGCCGTCGGCAGCGCGTCGGCGGCGTGCTGGCGACAGGGGCAAGTGCGGGGCGGGCCGCTGCTGGGCGTGGTGAGCGGCCGCGTGGGCGTCGGGGGGATAGGTGTAGCTTTGCGCGAACCTCTGATTCCAAGGCTGCGCTCGCCAGGGCCCCCGGTGCGAGCCAGCTCGCGCGCCCCCGCCGCAGGCTGCGGCGTGCCGCGGCCGAGGGGCGGGGCTTGCGTCGGCCACCTCTCGCGCCGCCGCGTTGGGAATGCCCCAGTTGTAAGGGGCGGGCCTGTCTGCGCGGAGGTTCTGGGCGCTGCGCCGCCTCGCGCGCCCAGGCCGCCCCCGCCCCCGCGGTTCTCCGGGGAGAGGTTGCCTCCGCCGACGGAGCGGTCGGAGCGCCGCCGCGCGCGGCAACCTCGCCGACGGCGCCCGCTGCGCCGCCGAGCGAGGCGGCGCCCGCGGCCCCTCTGGCGGCCGCGCGCCCGAACCCGCGGCAGCGCCGCCGGGCCCCACCCGCCGCCGGCGTTGAGCCCGGCGGCCCTCGGAGGTCAGGCCGCCCCCGAGGGGGGGGGGCGCGACCCGACCCATCAGCGAGGGGCCAGTTCTGCTTGGAGTTTGATTCCTCGCGCTCGCTCTCGGCGCTCCCGAGCCGCCCGACGTGCAGTTTGCCGGCGGGCGCGGGGTCTCAGTGGCGCGCGCGATTTCGGCTGGTTCCAAGACTGCCCTGAAGGCGCGGGCGGGGCCGACGTGGGCCCCGCCCGGGCTTTCGACCAGGTGGGCCGCCAGCTGGCCTTCAAAGGCTTCGGCAAGTCTGGGCTCTCTGACGTGGCCCTGTTTACATGCTTCGCAGCTTGGACAGGGCCCCGGACGTGCTCAGTGCAGGGCGAGATCGCTCCTGCCACACCCGACGCGGGCCCCCCCCCCCCAGGGCGATTCGGTGGCCCCGTGCGCGCCGATGTCGACGCTGGTGCCCTGGGCCCCGCTGGGCAAATCGGGCGCCATTTCATGGGTGACAGAAGCTCGGCGGCGACCTCGCCCGACGCTCTCGACGACGACCTCGCGGTGGCCTAGGCTTTCGACTCGGCGATCGAATGCTGGGGTGGCCTGGGGAACAGACAGCGCTGTGCTGATGCAGGGCCTCAACCGAAGCTCATCGAGCGCGTGGGGGCGTTTGCTGCGCCGTCGGATTCCGCGATGCCGATCATGGAATGAGCGTGTTCTACCGCTGCTGGCGGAAAACCGAGGGGGGTCATTGAGGGTTCCCAACCCGCCCCCCTCCCCCCCCTCCTCGAAAACCCGAGGGGAGGGTCACTACCGGTTCGAACCCCTCCCCCCCCCTCCCCCCTCCCAGTCCATCATGAAAAGGGGGGGGTCACTGCCGGTTCTAACCCCCCCCCTCGAATACCGGGGGGGGGTGTCACTGCCGGTTCGACCCCCCCCCCTTCCCCCCCCCTTTGCCGCCGGCAAACGATTCCCGCTCCTCGGGACAGTTGGACAATGGTGGGACAGTGGTGGGAACAGTCGTGGTGGGGAGAATGGTGCGGGGACAGTGGGACAGTGGTGCGGACAGTGGTGGGGACGGTGGTGATGGGGACG